GCTGCTGGGTTCAAAGTGAAATGCCAAAAGGGTAATCAGCGGGGTCCCAAGATCGAAATTGATTTGTGGTTCACTGAATTTGTTATGCCTCTTTTTTGGGAACATAAAATAAGGGTTAATCACGCTTTTTGCTACTTATGTAAATTATAACAATAGCGCGAGTTATATAAATAGCGAAAAGCCAAAGAATTTATTAAAATTCTTTAGCAACTATAGCATTCTCTCTTGTTTCTACTTAGTTCTATTCCCAAATCGAATTTGTGCATAATTAGCTATTAATTTACTCATACCTTACATAAAGCCGCCTTTTAAACATATAAATTCCAAACCATTTTTAAAGATTAATGTGGCCTACATAAAGTTTTCATTGGAAATGTGTTAAAATGCAAATCAATGGATGTTTCCCCTATGTAGTACCATCACTTTTCCCCCCAGTACTTCTCACCGCACCCTTACTTTTGGGATTATAACGTAGATTTTCATGCGGCACGTCAGTGGCTCATTTGCATGCAATTATTTTGCTGCTCTCTGGTGGAAAAACTTCAGCCCTCGGATGGGCGGAAATCAGGATATAGACAAATTACAAATTGTGACATGTACTTCAGTTTCAGTTACAATATTGATGCTTTCTTTCTCCGATGCCTTGTAATTTCACATTCATCTTCAATGGGCATTTAATCAAGCTGTGAATTCGACTCCCCAAACTTCAATGACAAATGCATGCAACCATAAGGAAATGTTGAAAAAAAAAAAAAAAAAACAAAAAAAATAAAAATAATCAAGTCGAAGATAAGGATGATAGGAACAGGAACGGCTAGAAAAAAATGGTAAATGAAATGAAATTACTGAACAGCAAAATCGGATGGAAAGCAAGCAGGGGGGAATCGAGGGAAAAAATGCAAATGGTGAAATTCTAAACCCTTGAATGGGCTCGCCATTGTCTTTGATAGTCCGCGGAAAACCAGGAAAAGCGGTCCACGGGGTGTGGAAAGTGGTGCTGGCATGGGAATGGGGATGGTTATGGAGATGGGGATGGGTATGGGGGATAGCATCCTGGGTTGCCCATTTGCCAACTGGGCTGTAAGTAAGCGCATTTCCCGACTTTTTTCTAGCTTCGGCTGCTCTTTCTTCCGCTCATTTGTCTCTGCATGAAAATGCCCGCGATTTTCCCCCTTCTATGAGTATGTGTACTCTTTTTTTCGGTCGTGCTTTTAATTGTATTTAGTTACATTAGTAATTATCGATTTTTCCTGAGCTAAGACCGCTGGATGGGACTGTACTCAATGTCGAACGGCGTGAAGGGGCTTAAGATGTCCAGATTGTTGATGAATTTGGGGGGTGGACGGGGGAAGCCCTTGAAGAAGGTAGCTCTTTTAGCGAAAAAGTTGTAAAAATATAAGCAAAATGAGAACAATTAATTACTCAAATAAGATGAGCGTCAAAAGAAAGAAGTGAACAAAATGCTAAAGACAATATAATAGTTCTCAAGTCGAATACTTCAGAGTATAAGTATTTTGGATAGATGACAAGCGCAGCAATATTTTAAATATTTATCAAAAGTTGTGCAAATATTTTGCATGGATATTTGCGTCTACATGTAGTTGAATTTTTAAGAAGATTATTGCTAAGATATTCAACCTCTTTGTTCTTCAAATTTAGTAAAAGCAAAGAAAGAACATTATTACCTATAAAATAGAAGCACAATTTTCAAGGTTATAGGTGATTTTTATCATTTATTGCAAAATGAGGAGTAAAAAGATGGATTTGCTTATGATCCTACTAATTAACCTGTGGAAAAAGATTTCTCCTTTGCATTTATGCCATTGATGTGGATCAAACCTTGTTCGTTTATGGTTTAGACAGATTTGGCCTCTTTGATCAAAGATTTTTTTTTTTTTTTTGCATTTCACCCATCCCCTGTGCGATGCTTGTTCACCAGCCATTTGATGCCACATTTTTTTTTTTTTTTTGCTGCTCCACGTGCTTGTTACTCTGTTTGTCAGCCGGTCTCGCTTTTCAATTATGCCTGACTGGTCGTGGTCCTGGTCCTGGTCCTCTTCCTGGTCCTCATCCTCGTCCTCGTTTCTGGTCTCTCATCTCGTTTTGTTGCCCAGAGAACTGAGCTGAGCTGAGCTGAGATGAAGCGGACCGAGCTAAACTAGCCATTGTAGCATTAAGGCTATATATCACTCATACGCAGCATTGGCGCTTTATTTTCATGCACTAATTGCGTTAGAATTTCAATAGAAATGGGAGGAATATAGCCAACCAAGCTGCCTCCCTGTTCTGAGCTCTATCTCTTTGATTTGACTTTAGCACATGAAGAGTTTTTAATTGGAATTTGCAGTGGGAGATTATCAAAACCAGGCGAGGGGCAGTGATTTTTCTTTTGCTCGTCTTCTTTTGATTTTCCGCCTCTTTTTTCCTTTTTTTTTTGTTTTTTTTTTTTTTGGGTAGCAGTTCTTGGGTACACACGTATATATACCTGCCCAATGCCAATTTTTTCTTCAACTTCCTTGCCAAGACTTTGCCACGCAGCCTTTTTTTTCAGGGCCCTTCTGTGTGTGTGTGTATGTGTATATTGCTTTACATAAGACCCGGACAGTCCGGAGAAGTCCGTAGTCCGTAGTCCGTAGTCCGCTGTCCGTAGTCCGGAGTCCCAAGTCCGGGTGTGCCCTCACGGCCATTAGAGCGCTCTGTGCTGCTCTGTCGTTGTCGTAATTAAAAACAAGGAAAATTCTGCACGGAGAGAAAAAAATTGGTGCCAAGCAGGCAGGCGGATGGATTGTGATTGGGTCGCCTTCGGTCGCCCACCTACCGTCCATCCCAACCCTTGCCGCAATTTATTTAAATTTTCTGAGCCGAACTCTTTGGCTCCTTCTTAATTTCTTCAGCCCTTTTTTTTTTTTTTGCCTTTGTACTTGTTGTTTTTAATAAAGTTCGCGCTGGACACGGAAAAAAAGAAGGTCCAAGAAAGCGCTGCGAAGAAGTTGCGTAAATTTGTTATGTACTTTTTTTCTTTTTAAATAAATAAATATGGGGAATGGCGATGGGGAGGGCAGGGGAGTCTTCATGGCGTTGATGAGCAGCGCAACCACAGCCGCCCTCCTCGCCCCTGCCGCCCCAACCCACTCATATATAGCCGAGCAATCATGCATCCTTTCCTGACGGTGCACCCCATCCTCGCTCCTCCGGGCCTGTAGTTCCGTTTCCGGCGCCTGCCATTTGCATCTACAGCAGAAAAAAAAAATTCTTTCATTTATTCGAAGGATTCTTCAACCCCTCTGCCCGTCCTGCCATTCTTGGTGATTTTTTTTTTTTCTTTTGCTGTCGAAGAAGAAAAGATTTTTTTTCGCTTTTTTAAAACACACAAACTGGACGACGACGGAGGCGAAGGCGATGGTGAAGGGGGTAGCAACCCAACGGGGGGATGGGTTGGTGGGCAGCATTTCTTTGCGGCTTGAGCGAACCGAAAGAACGGGTACACAAATTTCAACCTACTCAATTTTTGCCTTAATTTCTTTTCTGTTTCGCCAGGAGACCTCGGGCCACCGGAGCCATACCCACACCCATACCCACACCCATGCCCATGCCCATTCCCATGCCCATCCCCATTCCCATGCCCATTCCATCCCAAATCCCGCTCGCAGCTTCATCCTCCTGCTGCTGCTCCATCTTTTGCAAAAGGCGGTAATAAGAATTTTTTCTTCGCTGCCGGAGTGTGCGTGAGCCGTAGTGTTTTTTCCCGTATTTTTAATTTAAAATGCGAAGCATGGAAAAAATATATATATGTATATGTATAAAATGGGAAGTAGTAAGGGGGTGTGGGTGTGGGAGGGCATTTGCTGCGCACTGCTTAAAAGAAAAACTTCTGAAGTAAATATTTGTCTGTCCAATTGCTGCGGCGACTGCCAACTGCAGCGGATTGGGTTTTGGAAGATGTTGGTGGCGGCGATGGTGGTGGTAGATGAGATGTGGGTGGCCAGAGGGTTTTGGGCCATGTGGGCGTTGTCGCTGGAATTGGCGATGGCCGATGGGCAATGGGCAATGGGCAATGGGCGAAAGTGTTGTTGGACGGGTTGGGCAACGGACACTGCTGTGGACACTGGTGACCGACCATGCCAAGACAAGCGACGCCATAATGACTGTCACAGCGCTCCATGGACAAACACGAGGCAGCACCTCCTCCTCCTCCGCCGCCTCCAAGGCAACAACATCCCAAAATGGAAAAAAGAAAAATGCGAAATGGAAACAAATTTCCATCACCTAAGCTCTGTTATATGTATTCCCCCGGGGCGTCTCTCTGTCGGAGTGGGTGCGGCTCTTTGAAACTCTTTCAACTATCCGATATAGGCTATTTTTCAATCAAATCACCGCATTCCATATTCAGTGTGTGTAAATTACCAGGGGAAACGCATACACGCACACACTTCAAACAGCCTTGTGCGAAAATGCTAAGGTGATGCATACAATTATATCCTTGAAACGGAGCAACTAGCCTTTGCATCCGATATGAAATGAAGCCAAATTTGAATTGGTTACGAAACCACTTTTTCTTACTTGCGAACTCGGTTGTAACGTGACTATCACTGTTTCACAATTATTCATCAAGAACCAATGAATCATGTCATAACAAATAAACCATAGTGCACAGCCATCAATATTAATCTTTTAAATAGGCTACAAAGTGCAGAACTATTTAAAATATCAGAGATTGTAATGAGGTTAATATCGTATTTGTTTAGCAGTATTTCCTTGTTTAATATCGTATTTTGTTTAGCAGTATATCCTTGTTTAATATCGTATTTTGTTTAGCAGTATATCCTTGTTTAATATCGTATTTTGTTGGACAGTATTTCCTTGCTTAATATCGTATTTTATTTGACGGTATATCCTTCTTTAATTCTAGTGGCTCAAGTGGCTCAAGTCCAAATTAAACCCCCACTGAAATGTGTTCCAAATGTACCAATTACTAATTTTTTGCTCTCGTTTTCTTGCAGGGCCTCTTGCGCACCGCCGAGCAGCTAAAGATCAAGGGACTCTGCGAAACCGCCGAGAACGCGGATGACCTGAACGACGCGGCCACTGCAACGATCACGGTTTCAGAGAACATACAGCAGGCGGTCGTTGGCAATATAGTGAACGCCACCATAGTACCCGGTGCCCCGTCGCCCTCCCTGGAACAGCAGCAGCAGCAGCAACACCACCACCAGCAACAGCAGGCACAGGAGCAGCATCAGCAACAGCAGGTGCATGCCCAGCAGCAGCAGCAGCAGCAGCAACAAATCAACGCTGCCCTGCTTACGCAACACGGAGGAGTGTCCAGCGGAAGTGTTACCCTATCCGGGCAATTGCTGAGCTCCTCGGCCAGCGGCAGCAGCGGAAGTTTAGCCGGCGGACAGCAGGCTCCACAGACGCCATCCGGTTTGCAGCCAACGCCGCGCAAGTCACGACTAAAGCGCTCCAAATCGCCAGATTTGCCATCGGGCGGAGGAGCAGGAAGCTCGGTTGGAGGCTCGAGTAGCGGCTCATCGCAGCAGCAACCGCAACCGGCGCACCACCATCACCCGCAGACCATTCTCATTCAGGGCCAAAATCCAAACTCCATTGTGAGCCTTCAGCAAACCGCCGACGGCAATTATATACCAGTATCGGGTGCTGGCGACGATTCAGACGCCGAGGACCACGACCACGACCACGAGCACGAGCACAATCACGGACACGGGCACGGAGGACATTCGCACGGACACGGTCACAGCCACGATCACAGTCACGATCACGATCACGAGCACGATAATAAGCCGAATAAGATCTGCAAAACCGAGCATTCGGTGGCCTCGCCGGCGTCCAATTCATCCAGCGGCTCGAACAATGCAGCGGGCGTGAGCGGCGTGACATCCACCGGCCAAGCCATCGTCACACAAATTGTAGTAGCGCGCGACGGAAAAGATACAAAAAATATGACTAGTTTAGGCATGGGCATGGTAAGTTGGTTTAGCTAGTTTTGGTTTAGTTAGCATTCTCAGCAAACGCTCAGTTAGCCAGAGATCGATCCCAGATCGGATCTCCCCAAGCCCAACGAATATTACATTGCTAACCTGACATTCCTATCTCTCTCTCCACCCGAAACTGGATTGCATGCAGAACGGCGGCCTGTTGGGCGTGCCCATGGGATTCCTGGACTTCACACCCGAGCCACCAGCACCATCTGCCACCCCAGTCACCGTCACGGAGCACGTCGATCTGTCCTGCAACCCCAGCACGGACACACGCGATCTATCAAGTGAGTTATCGGTAGTGTTGCCAACGGATCTACCGCCCCAATCCTTTCAAGAGTGCCCAGAGCTAACGTTCCTTTCATTCGTTCACCCAATAGATCCCACCGAACCACTCGACATAGACAATCATCTGGCTCAGCAGATCCATCGGCTCGATCAGTCCCCCATGCACTCGATATCGCACCACCATACAGGCGATGAGAGCAACTCAAATCTGGTGCAGCATATCAAGAGCGAAGTGATCGAGGCCAAGCACCTGGCCGCTGCCCAGCAGCATGCACTTAACCAGGCCCAGCAGCAGCATGCCCATCACCAGGCCCACCAGCAGCACCAGCAGCATCAGCAACAGCAGCAGCAGCAGCAGCATCAACAGCAGCAGCAGCAGCATCTTCATGCCCAGCAGCTCTTGGCCCAGAGTCAGTTGCAGCAGCAGCAGCAACAGCAGCAGCAGCAACACCACCAGCAGCAGCAACAGGCAGCAGCCGCCGCAGCAGCTGGTGTGCATGGCCAGCATGGGGGACATGTGACGCACGCCGACATTGGCGGTGCCACAGTCATGGAGATTGATCCAAGCCAGATTAAACACGAGCCGGGCATGATAATAACGCCAGAGATTGTCAACATGATGTCCTCCGGGCATATGGGTGAGTTGTGCATCAGCATATTGGGGGTATCAGCCAGAAATCTATTTAAACAGAAACACGTTTATATGTGTAACTTTGCGAGTTTATTGTATAGCTTTCAATCAAGTAAAGAAATTATGAGTAAGAGAAAAGTATAAAAAGTAGCAAGAGAATCATAAAGAAATCAACCCTGTGGTTATACATAATCGAAACAAACTGGTGATACATAGATCTTCATAGAAAATCAAACAAATAAATTACAATTACCATTAACAAATCTTCTCTCTTCCCCTACGTAGACATGTATAACTCGGATACGAGTGAGGATTCGATGATGATCGCCAACGGCTCGCCGCACGATCAGAAGGAACCGCACTATACGAATTTGGATCAGCAGCACGGTCTGGGTGGCAGCGTTTGCGGCCCGGGGCCCGGCGGTGCTGGTGGCGGTGGGGGCATGAGTGGTGGGGCTGGCTCTGGCTCTGGCGAGAAAGGTCAGTTTAATGGTCCCAAAGCTTGGACACAAGATGATATGAATTCAGCTTTAGATGCATTAAAGAACCAAAACATGAGCCTGACGAAAGCATCCGCCATTTATGGCATCCCATCGACCACCCTGTGGCAACGTGCTCATCGCCTGGGCATCGAAACGCCCAAGAAGGAGGGCGGCACCAAGTCGTGGAACGAGGATGCCCTACAGAATGCCTTGGAGGCACTCCGTTCTGGCCAAATATCCGCGAACAAAGCGTCAAAGGCCTTCGGCATCCCATCCTCGACGCTCTACAAGATTGCTCGGCGCGAAGGCATCCGCCTAGCGGCGCCCTTCAATGCCGCCCCGACCACGTGGACGCCCGAGGATCTGGAGCGCGCCTTGGAGGCGATACGGGCGGGTAATACTTCGGTGCAGAAAGCCAGCGCTGAGTTTGGCATACCCACAGGTGAGTTGTCTGCAAATCCAAGTCTAATAGCACATCGACGATGCCTTCACTTTTACTATTCGTCAATTTGTTTTATATCAAATCAAGTGATTCTCCTTGTTTCGCTTGAAAGAGATAAAGAATAGTGTTTCGGTATACAATATTTATTCAGATATAACATACAACAAATTTTAAAAAAAGTATTAATTATAAGTACATCTGTTATTGTCAATCGAAAAACAAAAGTTTTTGAACATCTTGCACCTTAAATGCACTCTGAAAAATGATTTTCGAGCTCTTCCCAAGCTCTTTGGTTCTGAAAAAGTGGACATGACTTGTTCCATTCCCCTTTTTTCTGATTTGATCCGATTTTGCCATGACTAATCCCACTCTCTCACTCCATCAACGGCCTCAAAGGAACACTTTACGGACGCTGCAAACGGGAGGGCATTGAGCTGTCGCGTTCGAATCCAACACCCTGGTCCGAGGATGCCATGAACGAGGCCCTGAACTCAGTGCGGTGAGTGTGTGAGCCGAACTAGTGGCGTCAATTAAGTCGCTAATCACCATTTCCGACGTGTATCCCCCACAGCGTTGGCCAAATGTCCATCAACCAGGCGGCCATTCACTATAACCTGCCCTACAGCTCGCTCTATGGCCGCTTCAAGCGCGGCAAATACGATGTGGTGGCCAACACGAGTGGCGTGGCGCTCTTGAACACCTCGGGCAACACCACCGGCAGCATTGAGATTATCGAGCACAGTCAGGAGAATTCGGTACGTAGCCACGGCAGCTGAAAAGCTAAAAGCAAACGCAGCCAACCAACTCTGAACTCCGCCTGCAATAGCACAGAGTTAAAAACCAACGCCTAAATGTTTTGACATAACGTTTTTTAGTTACTTTACAAAATCTCGCCTATTAAATTTGTTAATTTAAATTTGTGGATAACAAGTGAACGATGCTAATCCTCAGTCATCCTAATTTGCATTCAAACTCTCATCTAAAACCCTGATCTACACCACACAAACATCACACACAATTGCCAGCTTTGACTAACCAAGATAATCAATTTATTTATGCAAAGTTGCATATGTTACAGCAACAGTTCCCGTACAGTCCGTCGCCGCATCCGCCAACGCCGCAGCATCACAGCACGCCGCAGCACCACAGCTCGGCGCAGCAGGGACCGCCGACGCCGCAGCACATGCAGCAGCACGTGGTGCACATGCAACAGCAGCAGCAGCAGCAGCAGCAGCAACAGCAATCGCCCCATCCGGGCCACCATCCGCAGCATATGCAGCAAGACGTGGTTACATCGAGCAGCCAGGTGGTGCACAGCCAACAGCAGCAGCAGCTTCAGCAGATCTATCAGCACCACGGGACGCCGGAGCGTAGTTGAGAATCACTGCATGCTGCGACAATAATGGGCAGCACCGGCGGTGGCGGAGGTGGTGGGGTTGGTGGAGTGGGTGGAGTGGGTGGAGTAGCAGCCAGTACTAGCGGCGGCACGGCGGCCAATAGCACGCCCTTTGCCAGCATCTCGGCGCTGGTCAGCGGACCGTCCAGTGCCCCACCACCGCCGGTAACTGCCAGTGGCTCGTCGGCAGTCAGTGGCGGCACCAGCAAGCGCAAGAAAGCCAACAAGCAAAAGCGTTGAGAGCAGGAGGATGATCGGCCACAAAAGGAGTTGGAAACAATTGCGGCAGTGGCCAGGCCCGAGGACATCAAGTTTAGATTTAATTGCAAGCACTGGAAACGCAAGCTGCGGCAGTTTCATTTGCTATTGTCCAAACAGTAGTCAGTCAGTCAGTTAGGAAGGATATACATATATGAATGACCCACAGACAAAAAAAAAAAAAAAAAACTAAATTCCCAAGGGTAGGATAAAGCAATCACAAAACCACTTTTCAACTAGATGGACATTAATTACACAAACGAGATGTGTATAAAATGTAAATATATAACGAAATATGCTTTATTTACATTATACGGAACATAGTTATATAGGTATTAGGTTCGCAAAAGTCCTTTGTTTTAGTTAAGTGAGGTGGAGAAAAGAGAAAGATAAAAAAACATACGTAGTTATTAAGAGAATGATGAATTTTAGATTTGCCTAGACTCGAAAGTTAATGGATTCGTTTTGGGCTCGCAGTTTTAAGAGCACTTTGTTATCAATGGATATAGGACACGCGTATTTATTTTGGACTCGTGACCATTCTGAGGACCTCAAATCAGTAGTTGATTGTGGAATTTCGATCTAGATTGCTTCCCCATCAATGTTTTGTTATAATTTTCGCTTAGTGTGAGACTGAAAGTGCGCCTAAAACTGTAGAAACCCAAGCCCAATATTTAAGTGAAGACGCATACAACACAACCCATACATGAATCAAATGCTTTATAACCATATTGTTTGAACGGATAGAACGAAGGGGGGAGAATACCTTAACGTAGAATTAAACCAAATTATCAAGGTTCTAGAACTTAAATCATTAGCTTGTAACGACAACAGAACAGATAAGTGAGAGGAACACGAGTTATTTGAATTTAACTGGAGGCGCCCTGAATCAATGAATATTGATTTGATTTCAACTGAATTAAGAATATAGCCAATAAATAAATGTAGAAATGAAGTAATTGCAAGGAAACAACACATGGAATGTATTTTTGATAGAACCGGAAACAGAAGCAGCTGAAATAAGCGAATCAAAACGCAAATGTTGTTAATGCTAAGCTCTAAATAATGTCCTTTGAAGTCGCATTCAAACAAAGATTTAAAACAAGCTTGTAAGAAAAATAAACCAATAAATACACCCGTATATATATGGATACAAGAAACCTCTAATTGAATTGTAAAATGTCTTAGTGTAACAGCGAATGAAAGTAGTTATAATATAACTTTCTTTAAAAAAAAGAAAATATTCAAGCAAGTTTTGGTTACCCTTCGAATGGTGATAGACCTAATTGTTCTATATGAAAACCCGACAACAAATTTACCACGAGGAAATATATGCAAAATTTTGAATTAGAAATTTAAAAACGAAAAAATGTATAATAGCTTCCACTAGCGTATCTACATATTTAGGAATCGAGAAATGGATACTGTAAACACCCATCTGAAGTAACTTCAAAACTTTTTTGGTTTCATCTCAACTATGCGTGTGCGGAGAACACTTGGATATCTTTGTATATACATTTGAATAGTTTTTTTAGTTGTTAGTTGACCTAGGGGAACAGGTATCTGAATATTATAAAAATCAAATGTTGCAAATTAATTTATTTTAGCGTTATAGACCCGTAGAACTGAATGCAATATGCTTACCTTAAACTCAACATAATTTAATTCTATTCCTATTATCTTTAGTTGGATTCATTTTAATGTCTTATAGCAAAACTGTATATCATTGTAAATTAATTAAAGCATACGAAGTAGCATCTACAAGAGTTAGAACAACAATAAAAGAGAAATATCATTATAACTTTGTTAAAATTGTCGCAAGAGCAATTAAAAAATGAACCCAGCAAACTTGAAGAATCGAAAATGAAGGCGAATCACAGAAACGTAAAAAAATAATAAAAATAATACATTTAAAATTTTAAGCTAACTAAATGTGTAAGAGTAACCTTTAACCACACAATATTATAGCACATTTCGGATTATCAAGTATGCATATACAGCAAGTATCTATTATAAACGGTAAATGTAAACCCAAAAAGAAACACTGAAACAATCTATGTAACAGCCGAAATAGCGAAAACAACCCATGTAATAAACAAACAACATTTAATGTAATATTGGTATAACGTAATTTTTAAAGTGAGGTACTATAAATAAAAATTATTGAATAATTACATAATATTGCGCATTTTTCATTTCCACTGAATTGTAAGAGGGATGCGTCGTTTTTCTCCTAGCTTAACATTAACCTATGATTTTATCAACTTATTATGTTTTATAACGGATTAACTATTTTTATATTTATCTGACTGAATTTTGTTGTTGGTAACAGTAGCGGTTATTAAAAATGGTTATGACGCAGCGTTCCACTATTTTGTTGTAAAGCTGGCATTCATGGAAACTTGAATTATGCTTTTTTGGCGCCCCGTTTCAAAATATAACCGACTGTAAGCTCTGCCTCTGTTAACCTGATCTTGGCTTAGGGCGCACTGTCTTGGCCAACAATGTTAATGGAAGCTTTTCTGTTAGGCGCCTCTCCCTCTCCGTCTTCGCTCAGCTGGCGCATGCTCTCCCACATGTTGAACTTACTGTTGACCGCGCTCACCTAGAAGCGGAAGATGCCAGTCAAAGTTCTGCTTCCCATGTGAACGGTGGTGTTTTGTATTCCGCGTTCCGATCGTCTGCACCGATTCCTTCCGCTACGCAGAAGATTTTTTACCAGCAAAGAAAAAACTTCGCATACTCCAGCTCCTCTTTTCGCTGGCTTCAGCAAGTTGAGTTTGGAAAACTAATTTGTAAGTCTCGGTTATAAACAAAAATGAATTGCAATCGTGTCGAATGGGAAATCCAGCTTATCAGTGCTGATTGAGCATCAGCTAATTGATTAATCAGTATTAATCCGTTTATATTCGATTTAAATCGGCTCAATTGAAAGTGATGACTTTGTTAAGTGAAAGTGATATGATGTGCGTTCTAATTCAGTGTGAAATTTGCAAATTACTTCCCCAGTCGGGAGTGGTACACTTGTGCATTTCGAGTATGGCGGAAATGTCAATTCAGAATTCGCATGATTGCGGATAATTTTCGAAAAAAAAAGAAATGAAACAGGACTGTGCGTTTTGAATAAATAATGTTAGGCGGAAAATGTGGGGCTAAATCGGGGCAACGAAAGCACGGCCCAAAAGTTAACTGCATAAACAGTTTATTTTTGTATGCCAGAGGACAGCTGCAAGTTCAAGTGTACAAAACTCGTAACCCCCGCATGAAATTACATTACGCATGATACACACCAACACACAGATATATATATAATATTGTATATATGTATACATATACATACATATGTATGAGTATAACATGGGCAGTATGACGTGGTGTGCGAAAGCCCGTCGCTCAACACGTTCTAAAATATTAACTTAAAAGACAACAGCAAAAAATACGCAACAATAATAACAGCTAGCAAACAACGTGCTTATTAAGAGAACCCAGTGAGGGGTTATAAATATTGGGAGAGCGCGTTCGAGGCAGCAGCCCCCACAAAAAGCTTGCTCTCAAGAGAGAAATGCTCTCTCCGCCTCTCCCGCTCCCACTCTCTCTGGGAAACACAGCTGATTGTCAGAATGTTGGCCTCAAATACCCCTAGATAACAGCCCACCTCCCATTGCCACTCAACCCTCCCACCCACCACTACAACCACCTCAAACAACCCACTTTTGTTCTTACAACAAGTGCCGCTGCTGGCGAAAAATGTGTTTGCTGATGTTTGCCGTGTTTTGGGCCATTTGAACTTGGCACCAAGAAAGTGGGTCTTGGCTATTCGCACGGAGTGTGACCACATTTTGGGGGTCTTCTCTAGTTTACTTGACCTTGAAGTCCACGAAATTTATTTCGTTTTAAAAATAAACACCTGAAATGACAGAATACAAAACTTTCTCTTGTTTTCAACAAGTGGGAAATTCTATGCTTGGCATGACTTTGTTTTAACTATTTACTTTATATGCCAGCTACTACTCAAATTGTTAAGATAATGTAATGAAATTGTAAAGTTTTGGATATAATTTACAAATTAAAAAAATATTTTTTTTATTGTTATTTTCAAATATTATATTAACTCAGTTGTCCGCATTTGTGATGAACTGCTCTTCAATTAAAGACGTGCCATTAAAAGGCAAAAGCCTTAAGTTACATGTTTGAAGGCGTTTTGATTGATTACCTAGCAATTAGAAAGTTGAAACAATCGCTTTGAAAAGTTTTTAACACACATGACAAGTAATTAAAGACCTTAAGCTAAATAAAAACACAACCCACAACAGGTGCGATCGAATCTTTGACTTTGAAATTTCGATTGGTGGCTCGAAGTGAGAAGCCCGAAAATAAAGTGTGTGTGTAGTAAAATTAAAAGCCAGTCAAGTCAAGTGTTGGTGCGTTGGCTGACATAATAATAATATATATAATAATAATATAATAAATAATACTATGTGGCTAATGGGGGTCTTGTTTGCTTTTTTCAAGAGGAGCCCAATCAGGGGGTGGGTGGTAAAAATAGGCCAACAGTGTTACAGGTTACAGTGTTTTCGCCTAGTAGAGGGGAAAGATGATGCAAACAGGTCCAAAAGACTTGGGTACAGCTCACCAAAACTAAAGTGAACATAGAGCAAAGGATATATATTTCACATGAGTTAATTATTGCAGATATTTATCCGCCATTTGTCTTATGAAATTTATATATAGAAACAAACTAATTTACTAGAATATGGAATGCAAGAGAAAATGCATTTAATAAGCTTTATAAAATGCATTGGCATACGCGCAATGCCATTCACATATCGGGGGCTCCCTGTAAAGTATACCACAATTTATCAAAGTTAGTATAAACTTAAAGTTCGCGTTGGGCAAGTTGGCCTGTGTATCCGTATTCCTGAATTACTCAGCAAGTTTCTTTACTTTGCAGTTTGCTGGCATCCCACACAACGAAGGCCCCGAAAATCAGTTGCTGGGCAACCACCCAACCTAAAAGACCAAAAAATCGAAAAGGGAGGAGGACCCACTGAAACTTACACGCAAGTGAGTAAATAACGGGCTGTAACCGACGGTCGTTAGGTGAAATTATCAATTATGCAATTAAAAGGGGTGGAAATTATTGAAGCGGAGTATCTCAGCTGAGAGTTAGTAAAACTTTCGCCCGCTGCATGTATTGATCTAAATGAAATGCCAAGGCTAGCGAGGTATTAAAATAGTTGAAGCCAAGCTGGTTTAAGAACCTATGGACATAGCGCAGTTAAAATAGTTCCAAGTAACTTTTTTCTCATGTTTGAAAAGCATATGTGCTCACTGCTGAAGTAATGTTTGGAAATGCCCTTAATAATTTATTCCTGAGTTGCTGTTTGAGTTTCCGTTTTGCTCATTACACATTTCATTTCCGTTTCCCGCGGCCCCAAATGAAAATGTTACAGGGCAATCGGACGTATACGTAATATGCTAATCAACTTTTGTTTTGCCAACAAGCTGGCGATAAACCAAGTACAAGCCCCAACCTTTTGGCCCAACTGTTGCAAAAGTAACTTTTCGCTGGTGAGTGCGGCAGGATAACAGGGCTCCTCCTTCGTCTGTACGAGTATGTATGTTGAAAATCAGGCGCAATTCTGCTCACTTGACAGCCGAGTCTCAACCTTCTTTGTGGCCCTGCGCCTTCGCATTCGCCTTCGTCCAATTGACCCTTAACCCTTGCCTTGGGGTGTCTCTCTCTCTCACCTGCCGGAACGTATGTACATATGTACCTTGCTCAGGAGTCAAGGACATCATACACACACACACACACTCATGCAAATTGCATGCCTGATTTCCCCAATTGATTGCATGCAATTGTGTTTTTTTCTGTTTCCTTCGACTTCCACTTGTTTGCTCATCCAGAGCCAAATCCTTGCTAAGCGAAAACACACCGAATGCCAATGTTAAGTGAAAATGTTCAAACATTATTCAGCAGTGTTTCCATTTCCAGCAGTTGGATTCACAAGGGCGGCCCTTGAAAATGTGATTCACATTTTCGGATCCCACTTCAACTGTTGCACATCCGTAAATCACGGCTATCATGTCTGCATTCATTTATGATATGAGGAGTGAAATAATTTATTTATTCAATACTTTTTCAGCTCAAACAATGATTAATTAGCCTCCTGCATAACAGAATTCAACAAGTATAGTTTTCAGGTTTAAACCGCTACATCAGAAGTTTCAAGCATTCCTAAACTTAAATAATTCATTTTGGGCAGTAAACTCTATGAAAATAAACCATATTTTTGTGTCCCCATAAGTCCCCATATTTATGTTGTTTGTTTGGCGAGCGCCAATTGTGAAATGAGATTTTGCGGTTGCCACTTTGTGTTTCATTGGATGTTTCTGCATGAACGCTGGATGGGCATATCAGTGCAGTTGGAAATGTGGTTCCCCGAGGTAATCTAAATTATGAAATTATGTCTGGTTCGGTGGATTCGATTAAAGTGAAGTACTGCCAGCGAAACATTGACACTGATACTACACGCAACTCAATTCGCTGGGCATTAATTAGGGCAAAACACAACTGTGTTTATATATTATTATATATTATATTATTTATATTATTATTATATTATTTAAAAACCAAGTGATTGACCTGTGGCTACCAAAAAGCTGCTTTTGAAGTCGTTTGAAACTGGCAATTCACTAGTCACTCTTGAAACTGGAAGCCATCCGCCTGCCAGTTTGCCAGTTTGGCATTTTGTGAGCATTTCCTGCCCGGTTGCAGGTCATTTCCCATGTCCTGCCAGAATCCACAGCTTATCTTTTGCCGTCAGCTTAGTGCACGACCTGAAGAAGATGCCCAATCACATTTGACCTTGTTTCGCACGGCCAACGCTGCGTATGAGTGTTGTTTGCTTGTTGCTTTCCCCCATAATCAATGTCAATGTGCTCTCTACAAACTCAGCGTATCCGTGAGATACTTTCCGTTTTAAGCTCTCTGCAATGCAATGCTCGCCGATTTAATGGCAAATTTGGCAGACAGCATAAGAGCAAAAATAATGAGGATACCCATTCGTAGGTCACGAGCAACCTTCCACTTTGTTGCAAAATTGATTTCCTTCTGCGCTTTATTTACAATCACCTCTCTTGTCTTATCATTGTTTGTATATTTTTATATATGTTGCATCGGAGAGAATTATATTCATTTTGCTTAAGCAACCGCACTTGTGTTTTGCATTTCAAGTGCTGCGGGTCTCGTCTTGCGTTTTGATTTATATATTATATTTAGCGCGAAATTACGAAATTGCCTACCTTATTGTTTTATAAATCGAATAAAAATGCACCTAAGTCGCTTTCGTGGTTTGCGTTTTGGCGTTTTGTGAGTTATACAAAGGCTATATTTTTCATGATCTGACACCTCAGTTTATTGTTTGACTTTTTCTCTCTCGAGTGAACAAATTGGCAGCTGAAAAAAATTGCAATTCAATTTACATATACGTGATATGTACGCTTTTATTTATTTTGTAATATTAATAATGCTCGACATGTCCAGCTCGCAACGGAATATTAATAATGAATATTACATGTAATTTACTCATAGGTCGATTGAAGTCTTTATTAATTAATTTAATTACACGTATGTTAATCATTTTATATATTCCGAAACATGCTTTTTATAACTTTTAAAGAATGAAAAAAGGAAATGTTTAGTTGATTTTCTTATTGTTTCTCTGAAAATCTCTATTAAATCATTCTGTTTACATGTTGTGATTGCCAAATCAAAATGTATTATATTATATTGTTGAAAAGTTTATTATTAGTTGGATAATTGCATTGAATAAGTAGGCGCGCTAAAGTATTACGACTGGCTCACATTTATAACTATCTGGGCAGTCAGATCCTGAAAACGATTAAGCATTAAGTCGACTCCATCACCAATCACTTGTGTGCCATTTCCATTTCGATCTTTCCCAACCAAGCAGCGTCTGTAGGATGAGCAATGCGGGAATCGACGGTGGAGGAGGAGGAGTATCAGGATCCGGATCAGGATCGACAACAGTGCCGCCCACAACGCCGCCACCAACTGGCCATGGATCCACTCGCCGCCTGAGCCACCTGACGGGCAGTGGCCGTTCGGGAGGAGCCGCCGCCATGGGCAATGTGGTGGGCTGGCTGAAACAGGTCCTGTCCACACCCAAATATCCAAAACTGTGACCCGAATCGATGTTGAACCACCCAGCACGATACACAGTGTATTACACCCAGTAACACAATGATATACAACCACTGCACCCTATAGCTTTTGTGTTGTATCCACCCGCCTGATTCTTCTTTTGCCTTTGATATCCTTCGATGTCGTTGAGGATTCCCTTAGAGCACTTGCTGATTTATGCATCGCTTTCCAATCTTTTTGCAGGCTTCCATTGAGGTGCGTGACGCCGGCACACGAACATTGTCGATGCTGCAGAGCAGCAATCCCAACTTTCGATCCTTGGACCTGTCTCTGGGCACGCCCACACCAACCACACCCACCTCCAGCGAAATTCCAGCTGCTCCAGCCAGTGCCACCGCCTCGCTAAGTGGCTCCACGCTGCAATTTGGTCCGGAGGAACCAGAGGAAGGATCCGCTGCCGGAGGAAGCCAATCGCTGACGCCACTGGATGCCAGGGAGCTCCTGACGAGACCCACACGCGCCTACGCCTCCGTCAGCCAGCCGCAAAGTCCAAGACATCGAGGATCCGGTTGCGGCTCCGTCTCCGGATCTCGAATAATCACACACGGCCTGACCGGCCGCTCCACATCGATATCCTCGCAGCTGGAGAAGACCAAGAAGCTACTGAAAATGACCGAGGGCGAGGACAAGCCGCTGACCATTCTGCACTACAACGATGTCTACAATATTGAGTCCATGGCGGAAACGGAGCCGGTTGGTGGAGCAGCCAGATTTGCCACGGCCATCAAGAGTTTCGCGCACCTCAATCCGCTTGTCCTTTTCAGCGGTGATGCCTTCTCGCCGAGCATGTGTAAGTCTCACATAGATATGTATATTTATATTGAGATTAAAGGGTATACTTTGTCATTGCAGTGAGCACCTTCACCCAGGGTGAGCAGATGATTCCTGTGCTCAATACGGTGGGAACACACTGTGCCGTCTTTGGCAACCACGATTTTGGTAGGAAGTCGGCGAAGCGAGAAGCATTTCTGAATGCATTTTCTAACCTATAATCCTCTTCAGATCACGGCCTGGATGTGCTGGTCAAATTGATCAAGCAGACGGAATTCCCCTGGCTGATGTCCAATGTGGTGGACAACGAAACCGGCCGTCCACTGGGCGGCGGAAAGATCTCGCACTTCATACTACACAATCAGATATCCATTGGCTTGATCGGCCTGGTGGAGCGCGAGTGGTTGGAGACCCTGCCCACCATCGATCCCAATGAGGTGACCTACATCGATTACGTGGAGGCGGGTAACAAGTTGGCCCGCGAGCTGAGAAACGAGGGATGCGACCTCATCATTGCCCTTACCCACATGCGCACTCCCAACGATATTAATCTGGCCGAGAAGTGCAGCGGCATCGACATCATTCTTGGTGGTCACGATCACGTCCGCGAGGTGACCGAAATCAAGGGCAAAATGATCGTCAAATCGGGCACGGACTTCCAGCAGTTCTCCGTCATCACCATCGAGCGGGATGCCGCCAATCGCGAACAATTCACAACGGACGTCAAGTGCTTCGATGTGACGGCCAAAATTCCGGAGGACCCGGAACTGAAACAGGAGCTCTCCAAATATGCCAGTACGTGGAAAGTAGTGAGAAGAGTAGTGATTCACATTGTTTATAGAATTTATAAAGAATTTGCTTTTGACATATTGTTAAGTGAAATCAAATTTCGAAAGATCTCTGTGGCATGCAATTCGTCACAAAGATTATTTCCAGCTTCAGAAAGTTTCAGCTGGAGAAGATGGAGTTTGATTGCTGAATCAAGCTAATCAAGTGCTTTGTTCCTTACAGAGTTCATCGAGAGCAAGCTTTCGGATGTAATGGGTGTCTTCAGCGTGGAACTAGATGGCCGTTTTTCCCGCGTTCGGACCCAGGAAACCAATCTGGGCAACTGGGTGTGCGACGTGGTGCTGGCCGCCGTCGGCGCCGATGTGGTCATCTTGAATGGCGGCACCTTCCGTTCGGATCGAGTGCATCCGGTGGGCGCCTTTACCATGGGCGACCTGGTGAACGTTATACCCATGCGTGACCCACTCATCCTGCTCGAAGTCAAGGGCAAAATACTCTGGCAGGCACTGGAGAATGGAGTGTCCGCCTATCCCAAGCTGGAGGGCAGATTCCCTCAGGTGTCGGGCATCAGTTTCGCCTTCGATCCGCAGGCGGAGCCCGGCAAACGTATTGATCCGCAACTTATCCAGGTGGGCGACGAGTACCTCAACCTGGAGCAGTCCTACAAGTTGTGCGTCAAGAGCTACATCTTCATGGGCTGCGATGGCTACACCATGTTCAAGGATGCGACTGTGCTGGTGAGTCGGGTATTTTCATTTGCCTGTAGTTCTAGTTTTCAAGCAACTGCTTCCCCATTTCAGATGGATGATGATGCTTGTCCGGAGTTGGGTATCACCCTGCAGAACCATTTCAAGGCCATCAATTCCAGGAAGTGTGGACAGAACACCAAGCACCGCCAGTCGCTGGTCACCCTTTCCCGGAGGCACAGTCTGGTGCAGTGCCTGGATAGCATGGATCTGGATGGGCCATCACCCATTCGCAAATTGTCCGTGGGTCACCACAACAAGTCGATGGATTTGACGCACGGCAATTCTCAAAAGGTATTTGGGGTGTTGAGATAAATATAAATAGATTAACATCAAATCATTTACTCCTTGAAAGATGCTACGACGTGCGTCCTTGGATGACCTGGAGCAGTCCACCTGCGATTTGGCGCCACAATTGGAGCACCGCATCGTTATGATACAAAACGAGGAGGTAAAATATATATTCCGTATATTTAATAGCTTAATTAACATCGAGCATTTCTTATTTATCGAGCAGCATCATCGACAGCTACTGTTCAAAAAGGAGACGCACATCATGAATTCCACAATCACCGAAGCCGAGGACGAGTAAAGAATTACCAAGAGTCATTTGATTAACAATTTGCATTTAATTTATTGTATTTTTTATTTCTTTTCCGTTTTCTAGTTACAAAAAAATAAGACAACTTGATTTAGGGGCAGTTTCCGATGTGGAGAGGAATATTTGAGTAGGGGTTAGGCAAAAGCATAGCGAAGATATACCCTTTAGCTAGTTAGATAGTTGGCAGATCTGTGGGATCGTGTCCTATATTATTACCGTTTATTGTTAATGCTCCTCTGTTTTCTTTTCGGCTAAGTTTTGTTGTAAACATTCGTAAGACTTCCCCCAGAAATGTATGAACAAGATATTGATATTGTATATGATGCATGTGTAGTGAGTACGTGTACCTAAGCTCAACGCTAGTTTAATTTACTTTTAATTAGATAAACTGATTTACACAACCAACTGATTATTGTACTGCAACTTACAGAGCAGCCCTTATGTTTTGTGATCTAGATAACGAAAAGAGTTTGAGCCGAGCTTTGACAAAACCTCCAGATATTCCAAGTAGTTGTTTTAAAAACCCCGAGTCCACAAAAACAATCAAATACTGTAGGTTGTACGCAAGCAAATAGAAACACTGGACCGCGACGAGGTGGAGGACTACGATTAGCAAACTGAAGAGGCCAGCAGATGTAAAGTGAATGTTAAGCAATATTTTAGAAAATGCACCTAGATTTTGAATGTCAAAATGGGATGTGTATATTTTTATGGACGCTTTTGGTGCGCTTGAACATGGCAGAGCATATTGATTTTTAGTGAACGCGAGCGCAACTCACGCGCAAACACTCATGGATAAATGCTTTAATCTTAAATAGTTCCTTGAACTTGCACACCACCAACACGAGTGTATTTTTGTCCATAGGCGAGGTCCGAACAAATGCAGAACCAGTGGTGCAGTGGCAGCTACCCACTCAATTACACAAAGTTAAACAATAAGTAGAGGCAGCCACTTATATGTACTCCATGCTTAACTGATTGTCCATGCTTAGAACGTACAGTTAACTAAAGTGAACAATATACAGGCTCAAAGTGCACCTGATTATTAAAATTATAAAGGACCCATATATATATACATACACGCAGATATCGTAAATCTGTCCACCTCCTTTGTCTCCCTTTAACTTTGAGGGCCGATCCTTCAACACTTTTAAACTATTTTGCAATGGGTCATTAGCCCGTAGAAGAACGCATTTTGTGTATATTGAACGAAGTACATTGATTTATGTAAACATTTATTAAATACATAAACTATATGTATAGGGGATTCTTTAAATTATTTGGCGGAAGCACTTTTGTTAGTCAGCAGGGCACTAAAGTGGTTGGTTAATACTTCAAAGAGAGTGAGTCAAACATCTATGTCGATTGTATATGGGGCGCCTCAATAAAACTGCAACACCAACGTCTTTATGGCACTGGCAATGTGGAAGGCGCAGTCGCGCACCTCCAACGTGTTCTTCTGTATGGCCTGCTTGTCATCCGCCTCGATGGCTTTCTGCAGATTCTCGCACTCGTGCTGGATGAGAATGTTCTGGCGGGTCAGCAATTTGAGGGTCTCGCGAGTCGGGTCACTGGCATTCGGCGGCTAAAAGATGTTAATAATTATAACAGGTGCTATAGACCACTGTGGCATAAATTGCTTCGAAAGCTGATCAAGAAACCCTAGTCATGTCTGTTCATCTTACCAAATTGGCATAGAGGGCAATTAAATCAGTCACGGCACTGCGAATGAGCTCTCCATGCGGAGCAATCGATTGCTTTTGATCCTCGGGCACTGGCTGCATTGCTCTTATCAGCTCCTTTAGGCAGCGCGTCACCAAGTCCGAGCGCACTTTGACCTCCTCACCAAAAGGCTTGCCATCCCCAGCCATTTGGTACATGCTGGTCGTATTGCGTATATCCGTATGGCCCTTGGCCACATTGGGAACCAAACGACGCTCGTACATGCTGGCTGGACGCTTGATGGTCGACTGGTTGGATGAATCATTGGAGGAGCCGCTTTCCACATGGCCAGTCCCCCCTTCAGGCAGCGACAGAGGTTCGTGCTCTGTATCCGGACTGCTCAGGCTCAGATCAATGCGACTAGGCAAACGGATAAATCAAAACAAATCATAAAATTCAAGCTGGCTAAATAAATGAAATGATAAATCTCAAAATCTCACAGTGGCTCATCGTACACGCTGTTGTTGGATGCGCTCGTGAACTTGGACTTGAGCTGCGAGTTCTCGCTGGACAGCATCTGCACCACGTTCTTTAGCTGATTGATCTCCGATTTGTAATCGCTGAGCTGTTTGCGCAGCGTTTCCATTTCGTTGTGCGAATTCGCGTTGCGCGGTGGCGTATGCACAATAGCCTAAGTAAAATAAAGCATAAAAACAAGGAAAATAAATCAATATAAAACAAAAACTAAAGTACAACTAAAACAATTACAAAATCTTTAAAATCAAACAAATGGCAAGGCAGACAAATCACGATACCAACTACTGCTTATTTAAACTACATTTTCACAAGTATCAGCTAGTTTTATTGAGGCTTATGTTCTACATTTGGACTGCTACCTTTGGAAATGGATTAGGTTGCCTAAAATCAGGGAGCTATAGTGCCCTGGCCTACGGATGAACACAATGGGTACAGCACGGGTTGTACGGGTCTACATGTCAGTCTTCGCTTACGCTTCTAGCCGAAGCTATTGTTCAGCTTGAGTATCTTTTGCCGCATTAGGTTTACCTGCTGGGCCATTGGTGGCACTGGGGCATAGTCATCATCGCTGGCCACCGGATCATAAATGGGCTCGTCGTCCGACAGATTCGGATCGAACGAGCCGAGCAGCATTGAGTTGTTGGCATACGGCAGCGATTGCAGCGACTGGTGCCCGGGCAGCGGGGCATCCATTGGACGCAGGTTGGCCATATTTTGCCGCCTCATTGCATCCACGAGTACGTCGGTCAACAGACCAGTGAACTCGGCGCGATTAAAGCGTGCCAATTTCTGACGACCCTGTGGACGAGACCATGTCAATGAATGTTGGTTTGAATCATTAATGTATCGCGAGGTCAAACCTGATTGCGCGTGGCGCTCAAAAATGGATTAGCCGGCAAAAATGGCACAGTTGCATGATCAGCATTCAGGGTGCTTGTCGACCAGACTGTATGTAACGAAAAATAAGATTAGTTTTCGTTTGTAGATATGTTTGGTACTCATACTCACTGGCTTCGCACTCGCGTCTGTCCACCTCATCGTATAGGTCCATGACCAGCTCCTCAAACATCTTATTTGGCACGAGTTGCAGCTTTCCACGGGCAATCTTTAGCTGCTCGCTTATGTCGGCGCCATTGGCATCCGGAATAATCATGTGCCGGCCACTCTAAGTATGGATATATTAATTAAATAGAACTTAATTAATAAATGAATGAAGTAGAACGTTAAACAGAGTTGCTCATGGAAATATGATTCCATTAAATAAAAATAAGTTTGTGACTAAAGGGGCATAGAAATTAAAGATCTAACCGCATGATCGGGCTTCTTGCCACCCAGGAAGGTGATGATCCTGTCGGTGACATCGTACATGGCATCAAGCAGTCTTTCGGCAATTGTGTTATGATTGTTGGCCCTGGCCAGTTCCAGAGGAGTCATCCCATTGCCATCCAAGGCATTCACATCGGCTCCATAGATGAGCAGCATCTCGATTTGCGACGCCTGGCCAAACTTGGCAGCCATGTGAAGTGGCGTTGATAGCTTGTCCTCGTGGTAGTAATTGGGATCTGCACCCTGGACCAAGAAGCGCAGTGAGGTCTCTAGATTGCTGGTCCTCACGCTGGCATGGAGTTGCCTACTCAGTTCCTGCTCCAGACTGCCCACAGAGCCGTTGCCATCATCATCATCTTGGAGACTGGGTTTTAGCACGAACGTAAGATTCACATGCTTGGCCTTGATGAAATCGGACTTGGTGGGATGGAGTGCATCCTTGGCCGTGGGTTTCCGCCAGCGTGGCACATGCTTGCCTCCAGTGGAATTGGTGCTGCCATCCAGCAGATGGTGCTCCCACACGCTATTGGCTCCATGGGCGTTCAGTGAGTTGACAAAGTTCAATACCGATGGCTCCCAGTTTCCTTGTCGTAGAGACTTCACAATGGAGATGTGCCTGCCCAGACTGCGGTGCACGGAACAGCAGTCGGCGCAGAGGAGTATGCCCCGGTTGATGCTCGCCCACGATGGATCACCAGCTCCGCAATCGCCACAAACTTCGGTTTGCAGGCGGGATTTCCCCCTCGACATCTTGGTTCTGGCCGAAATCGTGGGCGTGGCTGGATCGGAGTGATCCAAATCCGGCGGCGCTATAAATAACTTCCTGTGCGCTTCGATAATACTGCTGGCGAAACACATTCAGCATTCCAAGACGCTCACAAGCTGCAGGGGAGATACGAAAAATAGAACACCGAAGTTGAAAAAAAACTCGCACAATCTCAAGTGGCTTCGTTGTGAGTCAGTTGCAAACTGTTTGCATTCTGATTGGAAATCGGGAAAGCTGGCGTTCAAAGGTCAAATATCAGCCATTGGGGCTCACCCCTGGCCATCAATTAGGAAAATTACTTTTAATTAAACGCGGGGAGCAGCAGAAGAAAACATTTGCGGATGCCTTTTTAGAAATTGTTTTAGTTTTTTTGCGAGCCAGTGTGGCCAGATAGTAGCACTGGCAAAGCGCCAGGTTTGAAGTGACATGACTGACGAATGCAGCAGCTGCGTTTGCTCGCTTCCAATCGTTGGTAAATACTTCAATTGAAACCCTATTAAAGGAGAGTGAAAATATATGTAATCGAATTATTGGAATGGTCTAAGATGCCTAAAAACCAAAAGCAAACAGGTGTACTTTCAGAAACAGCCCTGCCAGACTTCTCAATGTTGACGGCTGGCCTCACTATTTCAGCTGCTTCACAACATATAGTTGTCTCACTTGCACTCCCTTGAAAAACATATGTTTATAAACAGATGCGGCAGTTTTAGAATCACTGCAACTTTCAGAGCACATGTGTCAAAACAAAACAATTTTGCCGATTTTCAATTGGGATTTAATTGATTTTAAGCCTTAAAAGGGATTGTAAAGGAGCTTAGCATGCAAGTGGAGAATCTGCACACTTCAGTGGCTTGCAACCGCTGCACGGAATGCGCGGATTGGGGTCCAAATGGTTGGATTGCCTATGGAGCCTGCAATGCCGTAGCCATAATGGATCCAAAGGTAGAAACTTATGATTATACTGAAAAACATTGTATATTTAACCCTTTTATAGTTTCAAGGCAACTCAGCCAAGGTCCTGTTCACCCTGGTTGAGCACACAAAGCGAGTGAACACTGTGAGGTGGTTGGATGGCGACAAACTTCTCTCCGGCGGCGATGATGCAAATGCGGTTCTCTGGGAACTGGATGAAACGGGGACCACCAAGAGCTTTCTTCTCAAAGGACACACAAGTGGCGTAAATGCTGTGGATGGAGTTCGCCAACAGGATGGCTCGTGGCTTTTGGCGACCGCAGCTGCAGATAGCACCATCAAATTGTGGACTTTCCAAGAAAATAATTATGTGTGCTTTCAAACCATATCCTTATCCAATGGATTCTGCTTTTCCCTTCGCCTGACGCTACTGCCCAAGTGCAACGAGGTTTTGCTGGCCTTCAGTGGCGATGATGAGACTGTTTCCTTGTGGACGGAACAGATAGGAGACGCAGGAGGTGGAGATTCACTGGGTCGGCAGTTCCAACGCGTACACAAGCTCACTGGCCACGAAGATTGGGTTCGAGGTCTGGATTTCGTTGTCGATGGAGAGGATTTGTTGTTGGCCAGTGGCTCGCAGGATAACTTCATTCGCCTCTGGAGGATTGCGCCGCGCAGCAAGGAGCAAATGCAAGAGAATCAGGTTGATCTGCTCCAACTGAGCAAGAACGACGATGAGATAAAGGTGGAGGAAAAGATACTGGAACTGGGAAAAGAGGCCTGGTATGCTGTGAGCTTGGAATCGGTTCTTTATGGGCACGAGGGATGGATTTATGGGGTTCACTGGCACAAGACACCCGACCAAGGTGAGTCACAACAATTGATCTCCCCAAAGACCTTTCAAAAACCTTAACTTTTTAGAGCTCCGCCTGCTATCCGCCTCTATTGACAAGACCGTCATAATTTGGGCACCGACGGAAGAAGGCGTTTGGCTGGAAGAAGTTCGCGTGGGCGAAGTGGGTGGAAACTCCGTGGGCTTCTATGGTGGAAAGTTCTCCGGCGATGGACACTCGATCATGGCCCACAGCTACCAGGGCGGCTTTCATATTTGGAACCAGGATCCAAATTGCCCGCAGCTCTGGGCCCCAAATGTCATCGTGGGTGGCCATTATGGCGAAGTGAGGGATCTGGCTTGGGAACATAGCGGCGCCTATTTGATGACCGCGTCTGCAGACCAAACCACTCGACTGCACGCTCCGTGGCTGCAGGATGGAGCTAATCCCACTTGGCATGAGCTGGCGCGGCCACAAATTCATGGTTATGACATGCAGGCGTTGGCTTTGCTTTCACGTTATAAATTCGCCAGTGGAGCGGAGGAAAAGATTGTGCGGACTTTTCAAGCGCCAGCCAACTTCATCGAAAACTTTCGTCACATCAGTAAGATAGAAAAGGATGACGCGGGAGACGTTTTGCTGGATTGTAAGTCAGCTGAAGGATTATATTACATTCCGGAGTAGCTTTTAACTTATTAAACTTTATTTAGCTCTTCCCAAAGGAGCTTCCGTGCCTTCTTTGGGATTATCCAACAAGGCTATCTACAAGGTGGAATCTGAAACGCAATCGACCAGTAAGGGTAAAGATGAATACCCGGACAATTACTTTGTGCCTATTGCTTTGGAAACGCCACCGCAGGAAGAGACTTTAATGCAGAATACACTTTGGCCCGAGCTGCAGAAGCTTTATGGCCATGGCTACGAAATCTTTGCACTTGCTGCCACTGCAGATGGTTCCGTTTTGGCCTCCACTTGCAAAGCCAGCAATGCCGAGCATGCTCAGATTATATTGTGGTGGGTATAACTGCAAACTTTTGGGGCGGGATATAAAATTTCATTAAGCATGCTTTAGTTTGTTGGTGAATCATAGCTTAGTGGTGCTCATTAGGATACAAAGAACTAAATGATGATGCTGTTTATCTCTTTCAGGAACCCTTCAAATTGGAAACAAATGCAGAAGCTGAGTGGACACCAGTTGACAGTGACGCAACTAAGTTTCTCCCCCGATGCGCGATACCTGCTGTCAGTTTCCCGGGATCGTCGCTGGTGTCTCTACGAGCGGCAGGATACCTCGGTGGGTTATCAACTGGTGGCCAGCACTGACAAAACCAATGGAGTGCATACACGCATCATTTGGTCTTGTGATTGGTCGCATGATGGTCAGTTCTTTGTGACGAGTTCAAGGGATGGAAAAGTAGTGGTTTGGAAGAAGGGAGAAGCTTGCACGGATTCTTCGCTAAATGGCTGGCAGGCGAATGGAGTTCTAGACCTTAAAAATGAGTCAATCACAGCTGTGGCTTTTTCCAATACCTATCTTAGTGGTACAGTTGACACATACATTCTTGCTTTGGGAACGGAAACTGGAGTGATAAAGATATATCAGTTTGTTCGAGGGGAATGGAAGTTACTCAGCGATTTGAGTAAGAGGTAAGTTTAATTTTCCATTATTAATTGTTTTCTATTGTATATGTTTTGTAATTTTTTAGCCAAGCTCATCATCTCACAGTTCGGCGTCTGCAATTCCGCCCTGGAAAACAACTTCAGCTTGCGAGTTGTGGCGAGGATCACTTGGTACGCATCTACGACATAAAGCTCTCATGAGCTTGACGCCATATGCATTAAAGTGGCCTTATTAACTCCAACCGCTGCGTTTAATTATAAATCTTCATCATCTGCAGACAGAGTGGAAAGGGGATGGGTCATGTCTCGCCTGATTTATCTGAATGTCGCTATCTAATCTGTTGCAATTAGTTGTGTTCATGTTTCCCCGCGGCTCTTCTTTTACGTGCTCTGATAAGATGTTATTGACATCTAATTAGCTGCAAAATATTGGCGCTGCAAGCACTTCGATTTGGGTATTTAAGTAGAATGGTAAAATAGCTTTATTCACAGTTTGTTGTAAACAATTCAATATGAGGGCAGCAATCATTTTGGCACTAGTCGGTGCAGTTTTGGCGGCTCCGCCAGTCAAGTTGACGCCGGAGCCTAATAGTGAACATGATCGGTACTCTCATATATATGCGAATGTACGGCCACTGGGCCAAAAAGCCCAGAACGCGGAGATTGAATTCCAGCCAGAGCACCACAACTCTCTGTCAAGCAACCAGGTCGAAGTGGTAACCAATCATGTGGAGCACAAGCAGCCTCAGCACTTGGAAGTTGAGATCAAGGAGCAACATTCTTCTTCAATTTCTCAGGTTGAGTCGCGACCATCTCACACCGTGGACATTGAGATGAAGCCGGTGCAGCAGAAGCCACCTCAGCACTTGGAGATTGAGGTGAAGCCGCAGCACGACCAACACTCTGCCCAGGGGCATTTGGTTTCTTTGGCCGTCAAGCCAGTGGAGCTGAATCCTCCTAAGCACATTGAGGTCGAAATTAAGCAGCAGCAGCCACATTCTTCGCCAAGTCATCAGGTGGAGGTGGAAATCAAGCAGGTGGAACAGAAGCACCCTCAGCACTTGGAGGTTGAGATCAAGCCGGTTGACCAGAAGCCATCTCACCATCTGGAGCTTGAGCACCACCAGCAGCACCACCACTCCGAGCATGGACATTTGGTTGCTTTGGGACCAGTAAAGCAGAAGCCCCAACACATCGATCAAGAGAAAATCGAGCTGGAAATTGTCGAAGAGAATGAGCCCATGGTATCCCAGCTCCAGAACCAACATTTCAACCTCAATCTGCACCAATAGAACGGCCGGCACAAAATGTATCCGTTTAACAAAGTGCATTAAATATGTATAATTACAAAGAGAGCGTTTCACTGACCAGTCCCTCCCAAGCTGGTTGTTAAATGAGAAATAAATAAAAATGGTCTAGAGCGAGCACAAGGAGCCGCAGTTGGCAATTTCCGTTTAGCTGGTGCTGCATAGTTTTGGGCCAAGACAGCAGCCATGGCCACGTGTCCGGGATCGGGAGTTTGAAGCGAGGAGAAGTGAGGAGCACTGAGGAGTCGGCAGTGGAGCCGGGTGCTGAGTTATGGCCAGAGCGTGCCACCTTTTAAACCGCAGCTTGCAATTTCCGTGCTCCAACTGACTTTATGATTGCCATTGGCTTACGGCTAAAGCTTCAGCAGCAGCACCATTGTTGTCCAAACTTTCGGTATGGGACGAAGGGGAGCGCGGAGTGGAGCTGGCTATGCGGTTAATTGGCTGGCGGCCATCTTTCACTGGCACTTTAATTATGTTTTCGTGGAGTCCACAACTCCACTTCTGGGCAACTTCCATATCTATATCTATAACTCTATCTCCTTCCCAACGAATGTCGTTGAACCGCCTCATAGATAAGCGCATAAATCTGCATTGTTCCGGCTGACACAATGGGTAGAAAGTTAACTATTGAATTGCATTTAGGCCACGTCGGAGGTCGATTGTCCTCGCACCTATTCAAAGTTGGCAATATCCCGTGGGTGGTGGTTCCATAGCGCCATGTAGCTCGATGGTCGATGGATCCGGACTTTCCTTCTACATTGCACGGTGCTGATGGAAAAACCGCGAAAAATTTTGCCACCATGATTGGTTTATTTTGGGGATTACACATGAAAAAGTTTTAGTTCCTCTTCAGCGGAAGACGATTTTGTTTAATGTTTATACTGGGTTGTTTTTGAAATTTTTGTTCGCTTATGAAGGATAAATTCTCCTCTTTATTCAAACCTAAGACATTTGAATAACATTTTCTTATCTTTAATTTTTGGCTAGCAAACTTTCGAAGATTCTCATAAAAATTACATGAAAATTATTTTGACGTTCTATAAAGTTATTGGTTTTAAAATAAATACGGCCTGAATATACTTCATATTGTTAAATTAGTATTATTATTATTTTATTATTTTGAATAGTTAATAGAAATAATTAATAGAAATACGTAAAAATTCCAAATGAGTTCCTATAGTTACAAATAAAATGTCATTCACAAAACAAAAATCTAGTAAGTAGTACTAAATATGTGATGCCATTAGGATACACATTTTTGCACAGTGCAGCGCTATTCGCACCCGCTTTATTTTGAGTCAAATATTGGCAAACAAAGCGGCCATTGCAATGGCGCTACACGCGTTTCCGCTTCCGCTGAAAGTTGCACGGAATAAATCCATACATTCATGCATTTGCGCCGAAACTTTTGTTCAACTTGCATTGTGCTGTGGCATGATTCCACTCTTTATTTATTTTCTTAGTCCCCGCCATTTGTTATTGCTGCAACAATTTTGCATTCTGCGGAAAAAGTTTAAGTTTCAATTGCAGCGAACGTGCCCCAGAGTTGCTGACAGCCACTGGAGCAGTGGAAACTGAAGCCATTCTAGCCATAACATGTGTAAACATATTGCCCCCTCCTTGAAAACACCACTTCCAGAATCCAGCATGCAGTATCCAACATCCAGCATCCAGCATCCTGCATCCCGAATCCCACTTCCCCACCGAAGTCCTCGGATCCATTCGTTTGCATGTGTGTCAGTAGTGGATTTCGCTCGGGTTGCGCTTTCTGTTTGCCTGCCATAGTTTTTTGTTTGACTTGACGTCCAATCTTCCTTCTTTTGCTCCAAAAAAATTGCTCTAATATTGTGGAAACTAAGCGGTTTCTGAGAAAAAATGTTGCACATCCTGAAATCAGGTGGGCGGATTAGTACGGACAATTAATCCTTTGGAGAAACAAACTTCATCGCTTGCGAAAACTATGTTGACACTTTTTGGAAAAGCAGTTAATGGTTATTATAATGGTTATTAAAGGGTTGTACTTTATACTCCCGTTTCACTTTGGTATTATCGATGAGGCTAAGGTTATTTAGTTATTCTATTGTTTGCATATAGAAACTGGTTCATGCGATGGAACATAACTTTACTTGATTAAAGGCAATAATAGTGCATTTTTACACCTATTTAAAAAATCACACATCTTTAATAATATTGAATTAGCTAGAAAAATATATTTTTGGGAAACTTTTTATAACTCGTTTTGCTGCGCAACTGTGCTACTTAATTACTTACGTACTAATTATAATAAAACTCTGACCCAAGTCCATTGGGGATGGCCTAAAGACGACTCCATTGGAACCCGAAATTCTTTGAAGATTAATTATTCCGGAGGGTTAGCGTATGCCAGCCATATCCATATATTTCCCCCCGCATTTCGCCGTCACAATTGCAACCCCCCTTCCGCTCTGCATCCACACACATCCACACACACCCACGCATATGTTTCGCTCGTATTTCCGCTTTGGCAGCAGCAACAACAATGTCACGCGCTCCATGATTTGTGCATTTCCGTTTTGCTTGGCAGCACGCACGCGACATGCACGAACATGCATGCGGGGGCGAACCGGAAGCTGCCGAGCAGCCATTGCCGAGGCCCCAAAAACTGCGACAAAGCCTATTGATGCGAATGGAGCAGAGCATTTGGCCCAGTTCGATGGGGCTGAAACTGCTGGCCCAATTTAAATCGCCAATTGATTGAGCCACCAATAGGCACTGCTCTTTGGCGCATTTGCCGTTGTAACAAGCGAAACTTCAAATCGAAAACTTTCGGCCTGCTAAGCCCAAAAGCCCAAGCGTTCAAAGTTTTTCAATTACCTGACCACGCTGTACTCCTGTTTCCACAATCCTGCAGGAACCCAGAGCAAATGCCCATAGTTTTGTTAGCTCGGGATTGCTGCTGGTGGTGTTAGGGAAAAGGGCAAGTTTAACAAGACAACAGGAAAAACTGGGCAAAAGTAGCAAGTTAAAAGTTTTGGCGCAACAAAAAACGAGGAAAAGGGCAAAAAATGGACTCGCGATGCTGTGGATTTTGATTATAAATATTGTAATATAAACCTGTAACCTGTAGCCTGCGCAATTTAGTGTGCTAGTCCGTTTCCATTTGCCTGCAAAGCCTTTGCAAGTGGGTAAACCTTAATTGTTTTCCAATTAGTTTTGCTGGAAAAAGTTTGAAGTTCATTTAGCTCCTGCCCACACGCCGTGTTTTTGCCGCCGCTTCGTTTTCCGCCCTTTTTTGTTCGAGTCGCTCGCAGTCAACATGGCGTATGATGAATTTTTAATTACGTGTGCTGCAAGCCAACCAGACAGAAAAAGTGTGGAGGCAGAACAAAAAAAAAAATTGGTAACAACTGTTTGCCACTTGCAAATTGCAGCCAACCCGAAAAAGTATTCAAAAAACACGAGGGCCTCTAGGAGATAGTTTTTCCAGAATTTTTTTGGACTGCCACCTGCAATATGGAGCCAGCATATATAAGAGTATTTACCTGGGCGTTGTGTTCATAGCTGCAAAAAGATAATTACACAGTCGGCTTGCAGCATTTAGGGTCCGGCTCTTGACAATGAGCCTGCATTGGAGTTTGGCTTAAACGTCGAACTTGTGCCGTGATGTTTTGGCCGCCACTTTGAGCGCTATTTAAATGCAGGCGCTATTTGTGTTTGCTGAATGGAATCGAAAACAATTTCAATTGTTTCATGCGCGAATCGCTTTCGGCCATTTTCAACACTCCTTGAATGCAGTTGTAAATTTGCAAAAAGCGCTCAGTTGTGTACTGTCAACAGGAAAACAGACCCATCATCACCTACCACGGCTCATCATCATGCCGGCAATTCCACAGAAACCACTGCACCACCGCAGGGAAATGGCCCGAATGCAGCAGCAGCCATCGGGCATTTTTTCAGCATTTACGATTTCCCTTATTGCCAGTGCTTTCATTTCGCTTTTCGGACACTTTTCCTGCCCGCTGACAATTTCACGTATTTATACCCGTTACGCGTAGAGTAAAAGGGTATACTAGATTCGTTGAAAAGTATGTAACAGGCAGAAGGAAGCTCAAAAATGTCTCAAGGCTGAAGTTCTAAAGTCTATAACTCAACTAATCTTAATCGGAATTTGAAGTGGCATACCTCTAAATGTTTCTGGAGCAATCCTCTAAAAATCTGCATTCAAATTTAGAATTTTATTTTTTTTCCATTTTTTTGTCACTTTTCTGATGTGATGATGTTGTGGAAACTCAAAAATGCCTCAAGGCTGAAGTTCTAAAGTCCATAACTCAACTAATCTTAATCGGAATTTGAAGTGGCATACCTCTAAATGTTTCTGGAGCAATCCTCTAAAAATCTGCATTCAAATTTAGAATTTTATTTTTTTTCCATTTTTTTGTCACTTTTCTGATGTGATGATGTTGTGGAAACTCAAAAATGCCTCAAGGCTGAAGTTCTAAAGTCCATAACTCAACTAATCTTAATCGGAATTTGAAGTGGCATACCTCTAAATGTTTCTGGAGCAATCCTCTAAAAATCTGCATTCAAATTTAGAAATTTATTTTTTTTTAGTTTTTTTGTAACTTTTCTGATGTGATGATGTTGTGGAAACTCAAAAATGGCTCAAGGCTGAAGTTCTAAAGTCCATAACTCAACTAATCTTAATCGGAATTTGAAGTGGCATACCTCTAAATGTTTCTGGAGCAATCCTCTAAAAATCTGCATTCAAATTTAGAATTTTATTTTTTTTCCATTTTTTTGTCACTTTTCTGATGTGATGATGTTGTGGAAACTCAAAAATGCCTCAAGGCTGAAGTTCTAAAGTCCATAACTCAACTAATCTTAATCGGAATTGGAAGTGGCATACCTCTAAATGTTTCTGGAGCAATTCTCTAAAAATCTGCATTCAAATTCAGAATTTTATTTTTTTTCCATTTTTTTGTCATTTTTCTGATGTGATGATGTTGTGGAAACTCAAAAATGCCTCAAGGCTGAAG